ATCTATCTATCTATCTATCTATCTATCTATCTATCTATCTATCTATCTATCTATCTATCTATCTATCTATCTATCTATCTATCTTTGTATACCGTAAATAGTTTAAAAGAGAATATTTTGTCTCTAAAAGGTGCTTAAAAATGCAGCTGCAAAGCTAACTATGCTAAAGACTTGTGATCATCAGAAAAAGTAGAAAAAAAGCATCTTCCAACAGAACTACATTTTTTACTAAATATGCCAATCAAGTACAAATCCAAAACCAAATTTTGTTATCTCCTGTCTTAATAAAAAAAACTAACAACAACAAAAAAGCCTTTGAAAGATAAAGTGTATACATTGTTATTCAATGTGTGCTTTTTGATTGCACGGTCCTCATCTTTTGTCCAACTCTTAGAAATAGGAACAGTTTCTTAATACACAACACAAATTACAGAAACAAATGTCTCAAATGAAGAAAAACACAATCACTGTTGCCCTTCTACTGTAATCAGAAACTCTAGCTTCTTATTTTTACTACTGTACATTGTAAAGGTCCAACAGGACTTTAACGGATATGAGAAAAGACACCTTGAACTGAAACTCCTGCATGGAGGCTGGAACACTGCTTTAAATATGTTTCTAAAATCAGAATAATGCGCTGATTTTCACTGTAGAAACTTCAGCTCGCCTTCAAATACTGCAAGAGGTCCCAGAATGGTGTGAGGTGGTTTTAATTGGTTTTCAACCATTTCTAAGAAATCACTTGAGTAGAGATATTTAGTCCCACTAGTCAAYGCTGTCATGTGAGAAAGATGTTGGGTCGGCTCAAACAGAGAGTCTGTGGTAGACCAGGCCACAGACAGTGGAGACAGACAAGGGAAGTAACCATCTTTTTTTTTTCCATTATCTGCAGAATTACATTAGCTTCCATATTTGACATAATTTGTTGGAAACAAGTCATTTCAAATGTTGCTACAAAATGGGCATGACAACAGAAATGATAATTAATTATGCAAGTGTGACTTTAAAAAAAAAACATCAAAGCAGAATGAAGTGAAAATGCTCCTCAGCTATCCTCACAGTTCACCATCAGGAAACACTGATGGCTTTTTTCTTTTTTATAAATCCAGAAGTGTGTGGCTGATAACGCTGTCTCCTGAGGAGCAGATGCTGGTTACTCAACAGCAGACAGAGTAACAGACTGGAGCTAAAATAGATTGACTGTCACTTTTCTGTTTTCCTCCTTCCTGTGATCCAAACTCCTCTTTAAAACGTCTCCTCAGCACTTTGTTCTGTCTTCCTTTACAGAGGTTTCCGGCAGACTTGTTTGATATGCAAAAAATTTAACTTGTGCCAGGATGAAGAGGGAATAACGCTGAAATGATGTTTAATTGCTGTAAAACCGAAATGTGTAAAAAGCTTGTGGATTTTTTTTTCAAAATTATTGTTACAGTTTCATGCCAACAAAGGCTTACTTACAAAAAAAATGTTTTTTTTCTAGTCCAGACATGAAAACAACGTGCACAAATGCAAATCTCATTTTGAAAACGTCGACACAAATGAGGTTACACCTTCATGGTCAATGATTTCTGTGCATTAAACCCTAAACCAACGTTTCAATTCAATGTTTCAATTCAAAATTCAATTTTGTCAATTCAACAAATTTATTCATTTTATTAAAAAATAACTATATACAATAAAAACAAAGAAAATACACAAATCAAAAATCAAAATTAAATGAAAGGTAGTAGAAGAAGAATAAATCTTATAATGTCTGCCCTGTTTTGTGTGAATGCTGAAGGAAACTAAATAAATATAAATATTAGGCATCAAGAAATAAACACCTGCACTGATGCAACAGAACAAAACGGAAGGAAGTTCCAGTTAACATTTATTAATAATTATGAKCAAGTCTGAAGGAGCTCTGCACTGTAATTTGGGGAATAGGTTTGTGGAATTGTTATGATATTAAAGAAAAAGCAATCTATACATTAAAAAGATGATTAGGTTAAACTGACTGGGAAAGTATAATGTCATGTAGTGTTTGGTAGAGACAGGATATTTAGGATGCCAGATGTTTTTGTTTTTTGACTTTTTCAAATGTYGAGATTGTTCAAGCTGAAGTTGTTGTTACTTATAGAAAGTTTGACTTTTTATTTCCAACCCTATTTTCAGCTTCTCTTTACTTGGTACATAATGAAGCCTAAAGTGACAGTAAATCTGTTTTAGGTCAGTGCAAYTTAATCAGACACACATTATATTGAACTGAAACACCAACTACAGATACAACTTTATTGAATATAATCTAAARTGAATACTGCTCTTCCAACAAAACACCACTGGATTGGACCATGGGGGCCCCTGGATAATGGTAAACGTGGTGGGATGGCAGTTGGCCTCACCCTCTCTTCAGMCAGACCAGTGATTGTGACAGAGGGGGTTTAATAAAGGCCTGGGTGGTCGAAGCAAACAGCCAGATGTCACTGGGAGGTTTCCTTCCTCTGCTGCCTGAGGGAAAGGACGCTTGATTGCAACAGTGGAGGTCAGACACCCCCCACCCCAACTCAATCAACAGCAATCCAACCAAACACTGAAAATTAATTCTCATTAATTAATTTCATTTAAAGTGTTCCTCAATCAAGGACTTGCCAGTTTGGAGCTTTACAGGAATATCAGAAATGTTCTGCAGCTTCCACCTCTGTTGTCTGTGCTGTTCTCCTCTGGCTCCAACACAAAATCCTCAACATGCAGGACTGCTCATTACTGCTCAAACTGAAGCCCATAACTGATGCGTCGACGCTTTTTTCTCAGTTTGTGCAAAGCGCTTTGAGACACAAAGCGAGTGGTGTTGACTGAGCGTGCACAGGGAGAAACATTACAGCTATGACTAATGTGTCGTGTTAGCGGGCGCTGCATGGGTGGAGGTAGAGCTCACGCCTCTTTCAACATTCAGTCTGCCTCCTGATGAACAACGACACTTTAAACACACTTAATTTTCCTCTTTAAAAAAACCCACAAACTGAAAAATATGACCTGTGGCTAAAGTTTAACGGACTACATTTTGCTCCACTCTTGTGGAAAAAGCTCGACGCTGACACCAATTTAGATTCTAGAGCAAAGGTTAAAGCTTGTTGCTGCTTCAAATGGCTTTTTAATTTGTGCTTTTTAAGCTGTGTTTTTAACTTTGTTGGGCACCTAGTGTATTCATGCTTGAAAAATGCTGTAAAAACATTTATCGCTGAACCAAAGTACACCTTTTTATAAACCTAAATCATCCACATTATCTCACAGTGTCACACAGTGTGGTAAAAACAACTTCAGATAAGGAACAACATCATAACTTACATGGTCATTAACTCATTAACTAAATCTAAGCCTAGTTTTAGACAGTTAAGAGCATCCAGATCTGTGTTAGGACAGACATCAGCAAACATCTTACAGAAGCAACAGCTGAACATTTTCTCAATCTATTTGTAATAAGTTGGATTCAGTTTGCAGTGAAAAGGGAATTTGCAATTATATTACATTTATGACAGCTGCTAATCTCCTTGGTAATAAATGCCTCAGCAAATTCACCTTTAACTATCCTTGAATTGAAAGTGGAGGAATGTATGTTTGCAAAAAGAACTCAGTAAAACAAGTCAGTAATTTTCTGTGTACTTGTTTACTCACAGGTTTTGACTGGAAGCATCAGCAGCATGAATACAAAGATATGTCATGTCCTGTAAAACAATAACACAATTATAAATTAGAGAAATTGCATTTCCTGTGAAAATGCTAGTGTGAATGCTTCATGCTGAAAACTTAAGCTGAAAGCTGCTGTAATTGAGCTGAAATTTTTTAATATGAAAAGTGTTAATACTTTGTATTAGCACTTTACTTTGAAAAGCTGAAAGAAGCAAAAATGCCTAACTTTGCAGAAAAACAGTAAAACGAGGCCCAAATCTAGTTGAAAACAGAAAACCGCTAAAAGCTAAGAGCTAAAATAGCTGACTATAGATGAAAACATCTGTAAGAAGCATAAATAACACTAGGTAGCAGAAAAAAGCAAACAAAGTAGAAAAAAGCAGAAGAACAGCAGAAAGAAGAAGATCTATAGATAAAGTAGCATAAAATAGCTAAAATTAGCATAAAATAGGCTAAAGGTAGCAGGCATATGTTGAAATTAGCACCCAGACAGAGAAAATGTTGTAAAAATTTGTAAAACTAGCAGAAAAAAATGCACGTAAGTACAAAAAATTGATAGCACAAAGTAGCAGAAAAAGACATTAAAAAGTAGAAAAAGGCAGAAGAATAGAAAGAAGCAGAATTTTAGCTGAAATAGCAGAAAAAAGGTAAAATTAGCAAAAAAGTAGCTAAAATTAACACAAGAACATGAAAAAGAGCATTACCAGACCAAAATGTGTAAGGTGCTATAAAGATTTAGAAACAATTTAAATGATTTTAAGGATGTTGAAAACAGCTCCACTCATTTTCAATGGTAAAAGAGTGGCTAAAAAAGGCAAATAGCTAAAAAAGTCTAAGTAGCTGAAATCCCCGGAGATATAGCAGGCATGGCATTAATGAGCCGGACGTTTTGATATATGAATTGTTGATTGCACAAAAATAGTGGAACGAGTTAGATGCCGAAAATGTACAGAAGAAAAAATGTGAATGCAAACCCAGGTCTTAATCCAAGCAAATGCTGATACTATTAACAAAGATATTGATATTATGATTGTATCTGTCTATTGTGTTTTAATATTGTTTTTGGTTTGTTAAACTCAAAATTATTATGAAATTGTGAGTGGAACTTAAATGCCAATACAGTAACACTGTTAAATGATTGGTTGCAAAGTTTTCTGACATCTTGTAACTGCTGTCTCCAAACATCACACACTTTATGCTTTCTCTCTTGTCTGTAACACAACTCATCACTGCCCCCACCTGGCTGACAGGAGGATTTACATTTTGGAACAGACAATTTTGGCCAAGTTTACCAGGTAATATTTTCCACAGGAAGAGCTGGTTTGATTCATTAAAAACACACCATGAAACACACCTAAACATCACCCAGAATGGTTTCTCTACTCACCTCGAACATTGGCTTGGCATTGTTGTACACGGACAGGATGTGGGTGATACCGTTTTTGGACAGACTTTCTCTGTTTTCAGAATCTGTGACAAGAAAGAGAGTCATGTAGTGCACTTTTGTCCATGTCATCATAAAAGTAAGGTGTATTCTGGTGCATACTCAGGGATCAGAACATTTTTATTTTGTAAACGATGAAGTTTTTGTTGTTGTGTAGGTCAATATGTAAGGATTTATCTCCGGATTGTGTTGTATCAAAACAGTTTTCACATATCAGGAAAAATTAAACAGGGGCATTTTCATTGTATTTATTTACCAACAAAACACATCTGGCTCATAGTTAATTAAAAGAATAAATCCATATCATAAACTAGATTAATTGCATTTCCTGTGTAAATGCTGTGTGAATGCTTAATGCTTTTGATTTTGCTGAAAGCTGCTGAAGAAGCTAAGCACAAGGTGAAACATGTTAATGTTGAACTGTTAATGCAAGTTGAATTTGAAGAGCTAAAACTGACTCAAAGCAAGCAATTGAAAGTGTGAAGCTGCATAACAAAAATAAACTTTTAAAAACATTTTGAATGTAGAAGGATTGTGGCTGAAATGAAGATAAAACATTTAAATTACTGAACAGAGCCCAAAATATGCTGCAATTTGTTCAAACCACATGAAAGTAGCAAAAAAAAAAATGGAATTACTAAAAAGACACCTGAGTTACAGATTCATAAAATCAAATGTATGGCAGGTCATTATATCATTAAATCAAATATCATGGTAAGCTGTTGTGTCATTTAATTGTAAATTATGTCAGGTTGTTGTGTCATATAATTAAAATGGATAGCAAGTTGTGTTAGATAATCAATTATGGCAGGTTGTTGTGTCATATACTTACATGTATGGAACACCATAGAATACAATCAAATATATGACAAGCTATTGTATCATATAACCACATATATGGCACACCTTTGTATCATATAATCAAATAAAACATTTTAGATTTATATTTTCAGCTAACTTGTTTAGCTTTTCCTGAGGCAGTTCTGAGAGTTACCATCCGTTCTGTGACAGTTGGGCCTGGGATCACATTCTCCTGTCACTTAGACTAATTTTAGCCCTGATACTTCTGCCATCACATTGAGGAAACTAAAGTTAGAACACTTCGAATGCCACGTTAACTGAGAGAGGTTGAGTTTCAAAACTGTGAACCCTAACACTCATAATATTTATTCTTATTATTCTGATATATTAAAGCAAAATTCTACAACTGGCAAAMGAGGAAAAATGTATGGGTACATCACCCCATGCTTAACTGCTAGGATATATGTTATCTATGCACCTACAAACTATTCAGTGTGAGCAAAAAATGTTATATTGAGTTCTTTGAAGATCACTGCATTACCTCATGACCATGAATGGTTTAAAGTAAGAAAACAGAATGACACGTGAATGTTAAAAAGAAATGTTAAAACATTCATTTTAAAATTAAAAATCCTAATTTTATGGTATCAATAAACCAACATCCCATTTTATATCTGGTGATGGTGATAAGGGTGGTCTACCCTGACCAGTCTAAACTGCATGTGCTATATTTAAACCATCAAGCCAGTTTTAAATATGTTTGCCTTACCTCTTATGTTCCCAAGGTAGAGCCCATCAATAACCTGTGAAGCAGAAATCACAGACATTTTGCATCAACTATTCATGACGGCACACAGACAAGCTTGAAAAAGGAACAAATGTTCTGGGTCAGTCCAGGTTGGATTTCGGGCTTAAGGCTTAGGAACTAAGCAAATGTTTCCACACAACCATACAAGGCCTGAAGCAGCGATGCATGATTCTCAAAAAAAAAAAAAAAAAAGAAGTTAAGTGCAGTAAGTAGCTGCTGAGCATCACTGTGTTACTTCTGTACAGAAAACGGAACTGTTGCCTGAAATTAAATTAAATTAATTTTATTATTTATTTAAATATAATAGGTATGCTACAATCTGACTCAACTACAATCCTGGTTCCAAGCACTGAATTTGTCATTTTACTATCTGGCAGGGCTTTATAAACAAAAAGTAAAAAAATCTTGACTAGTGGGTTGGGTTGAAATAATGGGAATGTGCGTGCATGAATGAATGAATGAATGTTTTATTCAGACTTATACATGGTCCATAGTGGCGGCACGACGGCTCAGTGGTTAGCACCGACGCCTCACAGCAAGAAGGTCCTGGGTTCGATCCCCGGTTCGGACCTGGGGTCTTTCTGTGCGGAGTTTGCATGTTCTCCTCGTGCTTGCGTGGGTTTTCTCCGGGTACTCCGGTTTCCCCCACAACACAAAAARATGTACAATAGGTTGCCTTCAGGCCCAGGCCGCCCTTGAAAAAGAGATCTGAGATCTCAATGGGATTTGCCTGGTAAAATAACAGTAAATAAATAAATAAAAATAAAATAGTAAACAAAAAACAACAAGAAAAAATTAAATTAAATTAAATTAAAAGAATGTCCAACCATCGCCACATAAGTGATCATCAGTGATTCCACAGACTGGAAAAGAACCTAACAGAGCCTTTGTACAGGGTTGATCAAAGTGTATATGATACTATTTATAGAGTCTGTTAGCCTACACATACATTTATTTACACATAAGGTTTCAGGGCACAGCACCACAAGTTGGTACTACTCCACTTAGGGGTGGAAATCTTTTACTGTCTCACGATTCGATTCAAAATCTTTTTTTTTTTTCATTCAAAACTCAATGTGAGCCAATTTGTCGTGTTTCTAATGTACTTCATCTTCATTTAGCAAATTTTGCACACAGTGAAGCTCATGTCAAACTCAGACTCATTCAGTAAAAACCAAAAGGAGCCCAAATCTTTGCATTCAATGAAGACAGGATCAGTTGAATCTCTCTTTCCTCCGGTTTAGTAGTTTCCTCTTTGTTTTGGTGCCTTCTGTGCATGCATACATTCCAGAACCAGCTGCYRGTGACYTCAGGACGTCCCAAGTGGTTACAAAATGGAGGTTGACAACCATTTTAAATCGATTCTGAATCTTTGTAAATGAGAATCACGATTCTGATTTAAAATGATTTTTTTGGAGCACCCCATCCCCTATACTCCGTGGGACCTTAAGCAGCATCCTCATGCCATCATTGTACGTCACCTGACATTTATGCAAACTGCTTTTCCTGTAATGCCTCCACAGGTGGGCAGTATAAATAAATAAATAGAAAAAGTACTCAGAGTTTAATTTGTCATCTAGTTGTTTATGTTCTGTTTGAGATAAGGCACAAATTGACTCCAACAAAAAAATGCTTGATTTTATTTAAGGTGCAAAACATATATTTTCAACAGCTCAATAAAATGTTAGTTCATGTAAGAAACTAATGTATGAAACATTGTGATTAATCATAAACAAATTTTTCATTTTTCATAAAATTATAATATAAAAATTGTCTAATTGTGCCAGTTTTTGTGACATACGACAACTTTTCACATTGTTCACCCATATTTCTATGTGTTTTAAAATGATGTTCTTATTTTTTAACACAGATCTTGGTATCATAAAACTATTTTAATGCTCTTTTCAATAAAAAAAGTTTGAACATAAATCTGATAGGACTAATTGGGTTTCCTCAAACGTACATTTGTTTTTTGGCGGTGTTAAATTTAATATATGATATTATTAGTACATTTTTTGCCATATGGACACAAATGTGTTATATAGTTCGATTCTTCAGTCACCAAAGTTGAAGGTCAGGGTTAACTTTAAGCTACATAAAGTAATTTGTCTTGAGTACAAATGCAAAAACTGAGCAAAAATAATTAAGTATAGAGCATTCTGACTCCGRCAGCTTGTAAAATTATTGAAATATGCAAACGGCTATGACTGAAAAGACACGCTTATTATCCAGATGTTTTGTGGCCTGTGTGCACAAGAGTAACACAAGTGACACTGGTCTGGATACTTTAACAAGGCGTTTCCCAYTTTGACCCACACTGTCTTTGGTTTGGCAAAAACAAACATCTGCACAAAACAAAACACACACACACACACACACATAAAAAAAAAAACCACAACTAACCTTATTCATACCATTTCCCATGATGCCTTTCAACTACTTTAAGGTGAGCTACACTTCTTCACAAAGGTGAAAAAACGGCTGCGATATTACCATGAAGTCCAAAATGCGAACCAGGAGTTAGCTCCAACCTTTAAAAAAAAGAAAACAGCTGACTGTTGCTAAATTTATCTTATTKCGAACAATATCGTTAGGTTCATTTGTTAATTCTGCTGCGGCCGCGTTAATTTCAGACTTCAATCTGTCGACAGTTCCGTCACGTCACGCTATCATCTTCCGGATTGTTTGGACGGAGCAGCCGTGCTCATCCGGTAAGTGACGTCACAGCATGGCGCAGCCCGACCTTCATACCAGGATATAAACATGTTTTTAAGTTCTATTTTCACACGACCTTTGGCTAATTCTGTCAATAAAATAGTTTTAAACGTAGAAATAATAGCACTGGTTATTTAACAAATTATCAGATATGAAGCAAAACATATTTTAATAACAAAACAAGTAGCTGGAAAAGTTTTTTTCTAGATGCCAACTGTACACTCCAACTGCAAAATCTATTAAAAATAGGCAATTTAATCAACACCTTGACACACAAAATCACCATGTAAATTTAAAAAAATCACCTGCTAAATAACTGTTACAAAAATGTAAACAACACAAGTCTGAAGTCCCACTGTAAATACTTTTTTCAACCATCCTGTGCCAGTCTGAGGAAGCTGGTGCACATCTCCAGTGGTGATTTGGAGAGAAGCTCGGTGCGCTTCGGACAGGATGCCTGTCCATCATTGGTTACAAGATACCTGAAACCTAGATGTTCTTTCAAGATTGGTTTTCCTCTTTTCCATCTCTAACCGGCCAAACAGTTAATGAGGGACTCAAAGTAAAACAAAAGAGGCTTGAATTGGTTTAACAGTTTTATTCTTCTATACACCTTAGGAGCTTAGGAGGAAGGACTCTTCCAAAATGCACAGATTGCAGTAATGTGAACAAACAAAATTCAGAAATAAAAGGTATTTTTGTATCTTTGAGCCAAGTCTGCCTTCAACAAGTATGTGAGGATCCGCTGGTCCCTTTATTTTTTCCACTGTTTGTTCTCATAGTCCCACTTGGATGAGATGCCTTGAACTGGATTCATTCTCATGTCCAACGCTCTCTGCAGCTCCTGCTCCTTGTACTTTTGGTCAAAAGTGTGTGGAAGAGGCCCATACACTGCAAAGAGCACGAATCAACAGGTTAGGCAATAATGAACCCAGAAGAAAATTAGTAGATTGCTACAACCTGTTATAGGAAGAATTAGTACATTTGTTGGTAGATATTTATTTTTAACTTACCATAACGTCTCTGCCAAAGGATGATCAGGCCAGCGAAACCAACACCGAACATAAGGCCTCCAAACACAGTCTTCCACTCAGACGTACCCTGGTTCATCTCAGCAAAGCTCTCTTTGAAGCTGATGCGGTACACTAAACAAGGAAAGTACAAGACTCWGAAGCCTTTCACAAATTTAAGACTGAAAACAAAGTAATATAATAGCAGATGTACTTTCCCCCCATTTTGACCAACAGTACAATACGTCTCATTAATTCTTACATGCAACCTTCTCTGCATTGGAGAGGGAAGCCCAGGAGCCCTTCTCTTTCTCCTTCAGAGATTTCTGCTCAGGAGTCAAAGCCTGCACATAGGTGACATCAGGGAGGGGTGTGTCCCGCCTGTCAAAGTAGGCAGGGAGAGTGTAGTCCTCCACCTTTGTGACACCTATAGGAAAAACAATTTATGACTTATGGTTATCTAAAACCAAATGCCTCAATTCAAGTAAAATAAATAAATAAAAAATCCTAAGGCTTAACGTCCAAAAGCTAAAAAACAAAGTGCACAACTGACAACAATGAGCATTTGAATGTAACATTTGATGCATCCGTTTTTCTTATTTTCTTCTTTTAATGATGTTGAACACACCAACAAACACTGATGTTTGTGATCATTTCTTGTAAGACTAGAGCCAGCACACAACCTGTTCTCTACATCTAATACTACTCTGTACATATAAATAGGGCTGCTACGATTAGTCGATTAATCGACGACTAATCGATTATTAAAATAATCGATGACTAATTTAATAATCTATTAATCGTTTTTTGGGTTTTTTTTTTTGTTCTTTACTTTGTTTTTCTCTCCAAACTGCTTTGACACCTTCCACTGCCACATCTGCCTTTCTGTCCTTGACACACATGCACAGTAGTGGTAACTGGGGTAGGCCGTGGACGTCACAAGACATTATACAGACAGGCTCTGGTATCATGGCTACCCAGCAATGTAGCTTAAAAGTGTGGGAACATTTTAAGAAAATGAAAGAGAAACCTGTACAATGCAATATCTGCAAGGAAGAACTTGCCTTCCACAGCTATTATTTTTAGTTAGCATATAGCCAAAATCTAACAATGGTTATATAATAGCAGCTGCATTCTGGCGCGATAAGCTGTATGTTTTATATTCAGTTAACATATGATCCGATTAGTTGACTAATCGAAAAAATAATCGGTGATTAATCGATTATAAAAATAATCGTTTGTGGCAGCTCTACATATAAATTAATCATAGTTCAACAAGAATTTTCTCAGTACTCACCACTGAGCAGCCATTTGAAACTTTATCAGTTGTAACTTTAAAATACTTATCTGATTTTGGAATTTTTGCAGTACTTTTGCTTACAGTGTTGGTTTCTTTTATTGGCCCAACATTAGCTGCCAACAAAAGTTTGCTGATTTTACTGCAAACTCCAAATATGAGACAATAGCAAAGCTTAATGAATGCATCCCTCAAAACTGTTAAAAGTGAACTGTGAAGCAMAGGATTGTGCTCCTTTTATAAGAGACTCAAATGATATTAAAAGGTAGCAATAAGTTTATTGCAATAAAATGTAATTAAAAATTTCACACAAGCCTTTTTAAAAAAAATTTAGATAAAACTATTAAATCAAAAGGAAACTTTATGTACACCAAAATCATTGAGACTGCTGTCAATAACTGACTTTATTTCAGTGTTGTCCAATCCTACTTGTCAAGCACACTGTTATGCATGTGTTTAATGTTCCCTTTCCAACACACTCMGTTTTATATAACTAGAAGAAAAAAATTGTATAGGTCTTCTGGACGGGTTCTTCTCTTTTTCTTTTTGATTTTTTACCTGGATTACTGAGATGCATCAGGACATTTATACAACTAGGTTTCTGCTGACCTTTAACAATTTGTTGGTATAATTTATAACACTGAATCAGTTGTGTTGGCGCTGAAACACATCTAAAACATACAGGATAGGTTACCTCAAGTATCATTGGCATTGCTGTTTTATTAAATATGGAACACAATTTCCATTCTTTATTTTGTTGCATTGATCAATCATTCAGTGACATGCAATTTGCAGAAAAAAACAACCTGTTTTGTATTAAAATGGATATTATTAGTTGCTTTCTTTTCTATAAAGCTACGACRAAGGTATGTTGTTCTGTTCAAGTTCTAGTACATCCTGTGATTTTTTTGAAGGGATTTCAAGGCTTCTGGGAAGAAAAAAAAGAGCATGAGGGAAAAGTGATGCAATAAATACACAGAATTTTGGTCTTGTTTTTAAACTACAGGTCAAGTGAGTTTTGTTTGGTACTAGACAGTCTTACTATTAATAAAAAGCCAGCAAAGTTTATGAATGCAGGAATCAATTCTGACACGTTCTACACGTTTAACAGATGAACAAACTGGTTTGGGACAGTAATGTCAGAGTAGRACAAACTTGATTTATTGCTATACCAGCAACTTAATAGTTTATTTGTTTGACTTACCATGTCCTCCACGTACACAGACAGATGTAGAAATTGCACGCTTGCCAATAAGGCTAAGGGCTCTTGTTGCCAGCATCCTGTAGAAAATAATATTAACTAAGTTAGTAGTGAAAAATATACTTCTTGAAAAACGCTTATTATCAGTAGACGATAAAAAAAAAACATTGTTTCGACCATATGGAAACTGTGTGAAATATTACTACAGTTAGTGTGTGTGTGTGTGTATATATATATATATATATATATATATATATAGATAGATAGATAGATAGATAGATAGATAGATAGATAGATAGATAGATAGATAACAGCAACAGAAAATAAATAAATTTGTATGTGTAAACAGTAAATATAATGCAATCCTTCTAACGCACACTATATATAGGGATGTTGACATTTCGTCAGCAGCTGCTGCCATTTTCTTCCCAAACTGCTGTGACCAGATTTTGCGAGGCTGCTCGGTGCGTTTGCTTGTAATTTCCTCATGCTTCGTTATTTCTACAAATTTCAACAAATCGGGCTTCCGTCAGGTAGTTAGCTACAGCCTCGTCTTCCGAGTTTTAAATTTTTGTTGATGCGTTTTGAAGAGACAATTTTTTGAAAAGAGGATCAAAGTAAATCACCCGAGTTTTTCTAGTGACCCCTTAAAGAGATAAGCTGCCATGAAGAACATTATTTTATCTGCCCTTGTTCCAAATTTGATAATGATTTGAAACGTCGAAGTATGTTTTTTATCCGGAACAGTGCTTGTTGCAAAATGTTTTGGTGCTCTTCTTCATCACTTGACACATTTAACACGTTGTCATTGGTTGAGGAGCGTTGTTTACAAAACAGATGTCCACATGGTTTTTAAATTGTTTTAATTTCCTTACTTTTTAAGACACATCAAGTTGATTTGATGCTACAGTTTGCCTTGTAATGTTATTTTATACCTTTTCTGCTACTTCTGAATGGGCTATTATTAAGTTTTATTCGTTTTTTTAGGATACAAGATGCTTCCTACAAAACCAGAATGGGAATCTTTTCCTAAAATTTCATGGTGATATCCTGAACACCGAGGAAGTTATGAGCAAAATTAGAAAACAGCAAGGTGAAATGGACACAAAGGCCACATTGGTTCTGCTGTGAACTGCAGCAAGAAAACATGAGCTGATTTCACCTAAACAAACATCAATAACTTCCCTCATACTTCAGATAATCACATGATTTTTGGTGTTATTTTGTATGGTTTGAAATGTTCTTTTAGAATCCGCTGTCAGGTTTAATATTGGTGTAGGATTAAAAATTTATCCACATCCCTACTATATAATTAGTGTTTCTGAACGCTTGTAAAAAAAAAACTTGAGTGAAGCTATGCTAACGTTAGCGTTAGCTACATAACACAAGGTCACAGCGCCCGAAGAACTGTATTCACAGTACAACGGTTTCCTAAAGACAATGCTGCACTATTACTCGTTTTAAACACACTAAGACACAATTCACATCAACACCCGGTAAACCACTCTAATGTTTGCTACATTCATATCACCACTTTGTACACATTCGATGCTTAACGCTAACGATAGCTAGCTGGGAAGGTAGCTAACCTAGCTTCTGTCCGCTCTTAAGTGACTCTGTAAAAATGCCGAATAATTTAATTCTTATATCCATTTAAGTCAATGCATATGTCATTGCATTACTGGAATAGAGAATTATCTAGCATTTTTATAATCTTAGAAAAAAGCGTAGATAGTTAAAATATACGACCTGGTTGCTTCCCTATCCGCCGACGGTGAAAGTACTGGCTCTCAAGAACGTATTTACGTAGAGTACGTAAAGTTAAATACGTAGGAAACACGTAAAGTCTACGCGGACAAATGATTTTTTTACGATAATTGCGGTGCTACAGCGGCTACTGGGCTACAGGCACGAGTGAACTGTAGGATTAGCTTCTCTTGTTAGACACGAGTTATTCGTTATTCAGAAACGATTGTTGCTGCTTTTGATAGCTACAAATGTTACGTATACTTGTCAAATGGCATAAGTCAGAACTGATATTCTGAGCTAAAGTTGATTGCAAAGATAGATTTCTACTTTTTTRCGGGCATGACAAGTAAGCAGCTAACAGCAGAAGTCGCTGTCTTTATCGTGTAACTAGCCACTCCGCTACTTTGACAGAAGCTGTCCGTCCACCAGTTTCCACCAGAAACATGCCTCTTCAGTTGACGAGCCAGGCTTATTGTAAAATGCTTTTGCATGCTGCCAAATATCCTCATTATGCCGTGAATGGGTTGCTAATAGCAGAAAAGGCTAAGGAGAGAAAGAAGGACAGTCACGGCGGTSCAGTTTTGTGTGTGGACTGTGTGCCTCTTTTTCACGGTATTCTTGCTCTGGCTCCAATGCTGGAAGTAGCTCTGACGTTGGTAAGTATTAATAAAAAAAACAACAGAAGAAAATCTGCGCTTTTAAAAAATACAGTCTTGCAATGCAGTGAAAAGGTTGTGTTTCTTAAGTAGGAGGTTTGTTTGATTTGTTKATGCACTGCAGTCCAGGTCATGGACATTCTGTGGTTGGGGTGATAGTAGTTAAAACTGATTTTAGGTTAATTTAAGCTTAAGATTCATGTGTTATTAAAAAAATGAACTGTGTCTTTTTAATAGACTCTGGAAATGAAGATAAAAAATCATCAGCTGTCAATTATAGGTTGAACAGAAACAGAAATATAGGTCGTTAATTTTAATTTGGTGTATTAATAAATGATTTATGATTGATTGTTGGTACTACTCCATTGATTGTAGTTCCATGATCGAGTTTCTTCATAAAAAAATAGAGAAATAATTCATCTGACGACTTCTTTTCTATTTCCACATGTTCACTTCCTGACCGCTTGCTCCTATCGCAGATCGACACTTGGTGCAAAGAAAACAACTATGTCATCGCTGGATATTATCAAGCCAATGAGAGAACAAAGGATTCAAGGTACAGAGAACCAAACAGATGCTCCAGACCTGCTTTTACAGGAAAATATTCCCATAAATAATTCATGTAAATTAATGCTCTGGCTCACTTTTGTCATTTCCCCCCGTCTCTATAGGCCTAACCAAGTGGCAGAAAAAGTGGCTGCCAGAATTTCAGAGAACTTCAGCGAAGCATCACTTGTTATGGTAACATTACAAAATTTAAAATAGCCTCAAGGTTTTTGTAAGTTTCAAGTTTGAGCAAAGTAATATCCTAACGTAGCTTAATTTAAAAAACTAAGAGTGCTGTCATATCAGCTGAGCTGTTTGTGTAATAGAAATGTTGGTTGTAAAAAACTGCTAAACGTCTGATTAACTTCCCTGTTTTCCATTTTTCTTCTCTTGATGACAGTTGGACAGCAGCAGATTAACGATGAGCTGTTTTGAGCCCATTGTGATCATCTATGATCATCATGAAAACAAGTGGAGAAGCAGAGAAGTAGCAGCGTACGTGTCTGAAAAGTGATGAGCATGTTTTTTATCTCGGCATACAAACAGTCTTTTATCGTTTAGCAGAAAACAAAGGGCAGATGAACACGCAGCTGATTGATCTGTGTGTGTTTTTGTTCTGTTTAGGGATTCTTTTGAGGACTGGAGCGAAGCACAGAAGATCACGTCGGCCCTGCTGGTGGGCAGGTCCTACGAGAATTTGGTTGACTTTGACAATCACTTGGATGATCTAAGAAACGACTGGACCAACCCTGTCATTAACAAGTCTGTCCTGGATCTTTGTTAGGACTTGAAACCTTCTGTTTCCATTTTGAGCTTGCATGATGCTACTTCAAGTAGCACACAGTCTTTGATCCTGTGCAAGCTTCACGCACTGGCAGAATCTGTGCAGCGGTGATCGTTCACACTGAAATCTTCTAAAATGCAGGAGCATGTGTACTGTTGACCTGTGTGCACCTTTACAAGGTGATGCTGAGAGGATGAAGGCAAGATTTGRTCCTCCTTTGAAATGCTTTGAGTTTGTTCTGTTATGTTCAAAAGGTCTCAGGGTGTTTGATTTGTGTTTTGTCTCAAATTTTACTCCAAGCAGCCACACAGAGATCAAATTCTAAATTATTTAGCTTCTGATGTCTAAGACTAACTGCTGTATGTGTTCTTTAATAATTTTTAGCACGTCTTGAGGTCTAAATTAAATTTAACATGTTTAAATGTAGTCTTAAGCTGCAGAAATATTCCCCACATTAATAGAAATGTTGACATCAGACTACAAACAGGAAGTGAAGTTCTCTTTTAATAACTTGAACTTATAAAAGACTGAATGGAAACATGGGATATTTAAACACATTTGCTTGTAAATTTCTGATTGTTTTTTCTTCTTTCTGTCGCTGGTTTATTTCATACGCGTCAGCTTTTCATTTGTATACTGGTTGAGTTATAATGTCTGAACAGCCCCAGTTCACAGGAATATGGGAGTTTGGTCTTCCATTGAATATTTGAATAATCAGTGTAAATTATTAACTCTGCTGTAAATCATTTTAAACATGTTCAGGAAGTGGGGAAAGGAATCGTTTAAAACCTATTTGTGAATCAGAGCTAACGTTCTTAATCAGCTGCATAGAGGTGACTTTTTCATAGATTTTTTTTTTCTGAATTAAAGTAAATTTAGAATCAATTTCAGATAGAATCAAGTCATTTCCTTTTTTGATTTGTAAAATAACTTTGCTGTCCTGTTCAACATGCCTGGCATTTTTAGAAGTTTGAAAAGGACTAGTTTATTGATTCAGTTTTTGCTTAACAGCTTTACCCTTAGGGGTGCTAATCCTGTGTGTCAGGATCACGTGGTACTGCTAACAAGTAGAAAGCATAATAATGACTTTATATGTCAATTTGTAAGAGGAKAATTTTAATAAACTGTGAAAAATGAAATAAAAATGCTAATTAAAATGCTGTCAATGCAAAAGAAAAATTGTGTTCTTGCTGTTAATCTAAACTAACCTGGGTTTATTAAAATTCAAACACTTGAAATAATTAAAATAAAAAAATAGTGTTAAAGATAAACAACGCATGCAAATGATTGCACAAATTTAGAAACGTTTTAACACCAGTAGGGCTTTAAATTTTGAACTATTGCATGTCAACAGAAAAGTAWTTTTTTTTCTTGCAACTTCCGGTTTGTTGCACAGCGTCTCCCTCTAGTGGCACAAATATGCAACTGCAGCTGTCACAGTCACATGACTGCTATTTCCGGTCTGAACAAACTAAAAAATAATGGTATCCTTAGTGGTGTTGTTGTTATCTCATGTCAGACATGATAAATCAGATTTTAAAATGCAGTTGTCTCAGATTAAGATGCACTAGATGAGAGAGAACGGATTCAATAGCGGCCATTGGCACACGACTCTGTCGTATTTCCTGTTGATGACGTAGTTGGCCACTCCACAGTTTGCAGCGCGGGAATTGTCGACAGACCTGTGGAGGTTTAGAAAGCTTCAGGAAACAATAAAATAATAATTAAAAAATAGTCATGGATCCGTCAGAGGTTGAATTCCTAGCCGAGAAAGAGTTTGTGAAAATAATACCCAACTTCAGCCTGAACATGATCCATTTAATCGGCGTAAGTACGAAAGAACTATTTAAGATGTTTACAGACAACACGTAAGTGTAACGTAACAAGCTACAAACTTATGTTGTTTTGATGTCTAACTACTGGTTTATTTTTCAACGTCTGTCCTCAGGGAGATTTGGGACCTTTTAACCCCGGTCTGCCTGTAGATGTCCCTGTGTGGCTGGCTCTCAACCTAAAACAGAGACAGAAATGTAGGATTATCCCTCCTGACTGGATGGATGTTGGTAAATATTTTTGTTTGACATCCTTTCATGTGGCCGACATCACAACGCTGAAGTTGGTAACTTTTCAATACTGTGAGCATCTTTAACCTGCTCTAATTTAAAAACAAAAATGCTTAGACTCTTCGAACCTAGACTAGATTATTCTCCATTGAATGCAGAATATTTAAAACCCAGTTTGAGATTTGTGAAACTTCAATAAAGGTTGTTTTCATGACTTTTAATGCATCTGGACCACACTAGACCTGGTCCAGATGCAAAACTCTTCAAATCTAGACTCGATTTTTATAAAAACCTATAGCAGAATATTTAAAAAGTTTGAGCTTTGTAAAACCTTTATCTGATTTGTGAAACTTTACTAAAGGATGATTACTCCACTTTGTATGCATCTGGACCACACAAGACCTAGAAACCAACTTCAACCTTGTGCCAAGATCACCGAACATTTTTTGTCATCCAGTGCAATGTTTCTTTTTATGCAGTTGAAGATGATTTCACATRATTTACTGAAGGGAAAGGATCATTACACAGATGTAAAAATACTGTTGTAAGAAGTGCAACTTTAGGCACTTGTGTCTTATTGTTGTGACATCACTGAAACGAGACATACTTTCTTGTCATTTGCAAATCGGTTTAAAAAAATTCATTTATTATTATTATTATTTTTTTATCATTATTATTATGTACCCAAAAAATCATACCAAAATATCTTTAGCTTGTTAAATCACTTCAGACTGATTTATGGATCATTTAAGCTGTAAAAAGCTTCTGAACTTTAGCATCGAACCAGTGCTGTAACTGCATAATACAGTACAAATATAAAAACAGTACAAATATAAGGGATATGTTGTGGTTGATTAACTGAATTATAGATAGTATTATATTTTATACTTTGTGATTGGTTGTAGTTCAAACAGTAWGAGAATCAACAAGTCTTTACGTAAAACATGCCTTGTGCCAACAGTATAAACACAAATGTTTTACATTTTAAGAAGTGTTCCTTGTTCAGTATGACATCATATTTGGAGTGGGACTGGATTTTGGCACAAAAACGGTGGGTAACATGTGATACAAGGCCATTTCCTGATTAACTGGGATGGATCAGATCTGAGTTGTGTGGTAACTATGCTAATATTCAAGTCTGAGACTCGATTTCTTGCAATAATTTGTTCTCTCATTTAAACGTGATCTTTCTAATACATATACTGTAATACATACAGTTTGTCACCAGCAGGCTAGTGTTTGTGGATTGATTAACTATTTGTATGCTTGAATGAATGGTAAGTCTGTGTTGAATGGCCTAAATTATGCAGGTTGTAAATGGTCTGGTMCGTGAAGAAGACTGAAAAGTGCAGAAAATCTCCCAGTTCCTTCTGTAATCAAAAAGTAAAAATAAGATTTAACTTTAAATAGCTTGTATACTTGACCCAACTAAAACAAAAGATTTTAAATGATGACCTTTGTTCTTGTTTACCCGCTCTCGATGTTTTGCTCCCTCGGACAGAGAAGCTGGAGGAGATGCGAGAGCTGGAGCGAAGAGAAAACGCCTTCACTCCTGTTCCCAGTCCTTACTACATGGAGCTCACCAAACTCCTGCTGAACCAGTGAGTCACCAACATTAAGATGCCACCTTCCATCCTGTTCATGTCTGTTGATGATATGCATATGTGATGATATTTATGCATATGTGTCTGTTTTATTTCATTTTATTTATAGCGCCTCTGACAACATTCCTAAAGCAGATGAAATCCGCACYCTGGTCAAAGACATCTGGGACACACGGATCGCCAAACTCCGCCTGTCTGCTGACAGCTTCATCAGTCAGCAGGAGGCTCACGCCCAGGTAACATTTTAACCAAAACACAGGACGTTTAACGCTCTCTGCTGCCAACTGAGTTATAAACATACYAAACATAGACTAGGTGGGATTTTCCAAGTCAACTTTAGAACCTGGTTCTTTGTGTTTGAAAACATCTTCTAAAAATAAAGCTTTAGAAAAATGTGGTTAGGTGTATGAGCATTAATTTACTACATGAATTAAAGTCTGGAGCTCCAGTCCTGAAGTTTTTATTCTTAGCTAACAGGATTACCAGTCATTGTTTCACTGTCTTGCAGAAAATTTAGGATTATCCTTTTATCCTTTTAGCTGTTGGCCCGACTGCTTCCTGTTTCTGTTCTCATGTTAGGATCCAGGAGTCTGACTCCTTAGAGTCCATTTTACATTCCCTCAAAGTAACATATAGAGCATTATGGTGAGTTATAACACATCATTTAGCCCAGAGGTGCCCAAAGTGGGCTGGAATTGGCCGACCAGCAGTTGCCACTGTTACTAAGTTGTCATGAATATTTCCTGTCATCCTATAGAAACACTGTATTTCCACTTAGTCGTTCCATCCATCCACTAATTTATCTTTGAATTATATTAAGATGAAACATGAAATACAGGTAACTACAAGAAACATTTAGGTGAGATTTAAACACACATGTAGATTTGCACTTTAAAAGACCACAAATACTCATATTTGATCAGTTAATGAAATGTCCCATGAGCCTTTGCTGCCAGAGCAGACTTCAAACTTTCTGCAAGAGCACAGGATAAAAAGACAAACAAAAAAAGATGTGGGCCATCGCACTGGCTGCTAGCTTAATCATAAAAAAATAATAGAAGGACTTTACTTTAAAGTATTTGTATTTCATGTATTACGTAATTGCATTTGACCCTCATTTGGCCCTCTCAGGGTAAGAGTTTGGGCAGCCCTGATTTAGCCTCTTGGTTTAAGCCCAGTTGCTAACAAAAACAGTGGCTTTATGTTTCCTCATGCATTCTCTATAAAAAGTAAATCTCTGAGACCTGCAGGATGGTGTGGCCGATCTCTTCTTGCTTGTGTTTGGAAACCTGAACATGTGTCTCGTCTCACTCTGCAGCTGGACAACCTGACGCTGATGGAGATCAACACCGTTCGGGAGTTCCTTCTGGATTCTCTCAACTGCATGTACAAGCTGCGCTCCAACCTGCAGCCTGGTTCCAGAAAGGGCCAGTTCACGGACCACTGATCCAAAACATGGAGGCCTGCTTGGGCAGCTTTGGACCTTGTCTCTGTAGCTTTGGTAGGCTGGGCTTGAACCATTGAACCGTGAGGATGTATTTACTAACCAGGTCCTGCACTGAAGTGTACCCAGTCTCTTTAAGGCACTTCTTTTGAACATGAGCATTTTTTATAAAGCTCATGCTTTACATGGATGTTTGTGGTACATGCCTCTGTAATTTAAACCAATTAAGGTTCATGTTTTTAGCATTTAACAAACCTAAATAGTCACTGCACACATCTTGATCTCCAGTGTTTTGCAGCTTCAGTTTCTTGCAAATAAACTATTTTATTACTTATCAAGTCTTAGCAAGAAGTTCATTTATGTAAGAAGAATTAAGTTTTTCTATTCCTATAGATGTACATGTGTTACACAAGCACGCCCACAAATGTTGATGTTTAACATTTTTGAAGTATTTTATTTTCCTTTTTGTCTGAAATCACAGCCATATATTCATAAATACCTAATTACTACATTCAACAAAGAATATATTACATTACAATGAATTTAAACACATACATTTTTTTTAAAACAGGATTTCACAGCATCTAGACATCCTCCACTGAGTAACAGGACTATTGCATGGGCGTGCGTGGGTTGGAGACGCAGGGAGGCTGAGGAAGAGGCTCGTCTGACTGCACCTTCCTCCCCAGCTCGTTGGCAGCTCCCCTCAGCGTGCATGCATCCTCATTTAAACCGGCGGGCTGCATCGTTGGCCTTCTGCTGCTGTGTGAAACAGGCAACACTCGGTGGTCCTCTGATCTGGCTTAGACCTCAGTAAAAATCAAATCAAATATGATGAAAGTTACTTTTTTAGAGCGAAATTTAGTGTGAGTTCTCGACTTGCACGTATTTGAGAGGAGTAAATGACGCAGCAGATGCTTTAATGAAAAGTCCCTGATCACTAATGTTTGGTGGAGTATGTTCGACACGTGGACTGTGATGCTTTCACATGCTCCCAAATTACTGAGGCACTTGGAACGTGTGGCATAGTTGTGCTTCGGTTTCTTGTTATGAATGAGCTTCGAGTATATTTTTTTAAAAGTTTTTTTTACATCGTTCATCGCAATAGGAGTTTCTGAAAGGCTTCACCCTTTCGCACCGTTTCTGCTCAGCGCTTTAGAACAATGTGGACAACTTATTGATGGCTTCAAGGGTCTCAGACCACACATGCAACCCCCAAAACTGTAGTCACTGTAGCACTTTTCTAATCTCAGGGCAGAGACTGTAAACAAGAACAGAACATAAAACACTTTGAATTCTGCACTTATCAGTAAGTGTCCACTTTGGTGTCGTTTGCAGCCTGTTAAAACACATTTATCGTTTTGGGATCGTGGGAAATGGCCGTTTTTATTTGAACGTTTGGCTACCCAATTTCAACCTAAAGTCAAAAATCACAGTTTTTGGCACTATGTCCTTTCATGGCGGTTCATAAGGGCTTTATTTGTATAGCGTCATATTGGTACGACAAAGTATTGGAGCCACATTACGGGATTTTTTTTTAAATTATGAGATAAAAGTCATAATATTACAAGAATTGTTTTTGGTCATCCTTTGATAGAAGGCGAACTATGAACTATTATGGTCAAAGGTTTTCTATTGCTAGTTCTTCCAATGTGGGCACAACTCCTACATCAGTTTTACGGCACCTGGTATTCCCTGGTTGTCTCCCATCCAACTACTAACCAGGCCTGACCCTGCTTAGCTTTTAAAGGTCAGATGAGATCCAGCATGTTCAGGATGGTGTAACATGCAACTCTTAATGAGAATAAAGTCAACATGAGAACTACTAACTACATGAAAAAGTAGTCCTACCACTGCATTAAAATAAGGAATGTTGATCATCTGATGAAGTTATACTTTGGTATCAGTTTTACAAATGAGGAAATAATTTTTAACACATCAGCATCAAATTATCAGTAGCAGAACTTTGAAACAAGTGTGCAAACGATTAAATGGACTCATGATACACCTGTAGCTGTTGATGGATTCAGGCTTTACATAATGTGGATGGAAACATAAGAGTGATCGAAAAATATTAGTGTAATACAATGACTTCTGTCCTCGTAATACTAGTTTAATCTCAATGTGGCCCTAATACTCTGTCGTATATTGGGACTCCAATATTATACATAATTTAAGTGGATGTCCAATGTTCAGATAAAGCATCAAGAACAGGTTCTTCAAATCGGATGTGAATCTGGTTTTAAGCGTGAGGATATTACGAGCTAACTAGTCATGCCAGCAGCAGTGAAGCGAAGCAGGGGAGTTGTTAAAAACATAGATGTGTTGCTGTGAAGGAAGGCGGGATGAGACGTCTCGTGACCTCTGAGTGAGCTTTGCTGAGCCCAGAGGTCAGACGAGGTGGCTGTGGCTGGGTCTCAGCTGCGCGGTGCCAGCACAGAACGAGAGCAGGAACACTCAGTCTGTTAAACATCTCAAAATTAGTTTTTTTTTTTCTGGCCAGCAGCAGTACAAACACTAACAGCAAGGCTTTTTTTGTTGTTGTTGTTTTTCTTTAAACTTCCAACCCCCGAAAAGCATAAACATATAAAAATGGCAGGCTTTTTCTTTTAAAAGAACAATGATTAAAGTAATAAAAACATACAAAATTCATTTGTCTTCATATTATATACAATACAAGGCTGAAGCACCCTTTAAAATTCTTATTTTCAAATTTTCTATTTTGAAATAAAACATTTCCTTAATTCTTTCCAAAAAAAATGTACATTTTCTAAGTTCTTCCGTAATTCAAATAGTTCTTTGTTGTAACACAGTACCACCAGGTAGTTCTTCAGCTTTTATTCTTAAGTGCATTTCCAGTTCAAGAGCTCACGTGGCGGCTGTGATAAAAATCAGTCCTGACTGACTGGAAGCCTTCGCGTGGAGCTTTCAAGTCATGTGACAAAACCCCCTCCAGGGGAAGCTGCTCCTTCATTGGCAGGATTGTCTGTGTAGCTGGGGTGCCGATGGATGCAGGGGCTGAACGACAGGAGCAGGAGATGTGGGGGAAAGCAGGTGTGTGTGCTGATATTCTGGTTCTCCTGCCTCACTGAGCTCTGGTTGGCTACATTGGCACACGTTGGTGGCTTCTGGTGCACTCCCTGACAATCCAAAGACTAACTGTCCTTCACTGAATGCTCCTGTCTCCTCACCTGTCTCCTCATTCACTGAGTCCATTTTTATTTTCATTTATCTTATCTAACCAGCCATATTCTCCTTCATGGAACCACAAGGACCAGGCTGTGGAAAAATAAACTCTGAGTCTAAGTCTGGAGGGGCGATGGCTGGGGCCGGGGTGTCGTCGGATCAGAGTGTTGGGGTCACCTCGGAGGGTAGCCTTTGTAATGACCGCCTCTGGGCCAGTGTGTCTGTGGCAGTGTCAAACACTTCCTGAAGTGCTCCAGTTCTGCTTGTAGCTTCTCCCTCTCCACTGCCAGCTTTTGTCTTTGGGACATCAGCTCCTGTGTGACAGCAGAAAGGTAAGCATCAGTAAAGTAGTAAAAAAAATATATTTTCAAAAGAGGCTCTCTGGGTTTCAGCAACCCATGTTCTCAGTTTTATTACCACTTGAAACTATTTCTGAAGATGAGTGCTTAGAATAAAATATAAACGTTCAGCATCCTCACATCTCAGAAGGATAAAGCATTCACTCCAATGAGATCCATTTTTCTTCACATATCTCGTTCTGCAATTTCTGTGCTATTTCAACTATTTATTTATCAAAACGTTCAGCTCCTTCAGGACATTCTGGTTTTGACTTACGGTATCTCAGAAATTTATACTTCTTGAGCTATTTAGCTTTTTRTGCCTCTTTAGAGAGGTGTTCAGCATCCTTAAAACCCTTCATTTTACCTTTTGTTTGGCCTTTTTTAATTTCTTTGTGCCAATTTCAGCATCCTTCTGATTCTTTTTGCTCATTTTAGCTGTTTTCAGCTATTTTTAAACTCTTTTTGTGTACTTCTGTATTTTTAATTCTTACTGTTTTAAGCATTTTATGCCTCTTTCAACTTTACTCTGCTGTTTTGCCTTTTTCTGCTGTTTCAGCTACTCTTTAGCTGTTTTTTCTTTTCTAAATTTGCATTTTTGTGGCCATTTTAGCTTTTTTCTGCTTCATTAAGCAAAGGTGCTCCTTTAGTTTCTTTTTAATAATTACAGCTTTTAAAGCTACTTTTTAATAATTTTCAATTAATTTTTATCTTTTTCCAGCTAAATTAACCTATTATCAATATTTTCAGCTTTTTACTGCTTAATTCAGCAAATGTGCTTTCAGTTTTGTCCCCTATTAATTTCAAGGTCACAAAATAAAAGGTCACTGTCACAGGTTTGTCATTTTTCTGCTTGTTTTACCTTCTTTCATCTAAAATTTAGTTTCTTTTATTTTTTCTGAAAATTCACCATTTTCTGTTTATTWTAGCTACATTTCTGCTCTCTTTAACTTTTTTGACACATTTTTGCTTTTTTCACTTTTGTATTCCTACATTCAGCTAAGGTCAGCTGTTCAAACTGAAGTCAACAGTTTTGCTAATAAACCTTTTCAGCTCGACTTCACCAGCTTTCAACATAAATCTTTCAGCATGAAGAATTCACACTGCATAATCATAGGAAATGCAAATTCTCTAGTTTGGTCTGTTTTTTTTTACAAAACTATTGTGAATTTGGTGTAGCATTTTATATGTGCATGACATCTTGTGTTAAGCTTGTACATCATGAAGTGTGGCAAGAAGGCACCTTCCCCTCTCCTAACAATGCACCCCAGAGTAAAGACCTATCATTGACAAAATGTTTGAAACCCATTTCCTCACGTGACATGTGTGTGTCCTGTGTCTTACCCCCATACTATGAGACAGCTGCTCAGCAGTCAGACTGAGGTTGTAGTTCTGAGCTTCTAGCCTTCGACACTGGCTCTGCAACACGTGTCTCTCCAAACTTTGCTCTGTGTCACAAACAGTGGGAGGAAAGAAAAGGATGAAGTTGAGGTCAGAAATCAGATGCAAACATGTCAGTTTCCACTGAGCTTCAACTACAACCCAAACCACGTGATAGTTTCAGATACATGTCTTCATATTTCAATGTTTGAAATGATCCAGAACACAAAAAAATGAATTAGTTTTAACGTTTATATTTAACAGAGTCACGTAGACGCGCAAATGCTGCCCTCTAGTGACAAATAAAAGCTACWACAACTCTTGTATTACTGGAGATGGTCCCTTTTATTTTTTAAATTTTATTTCTGGGATTTCATCTTATTGTTGACAAAATGTTGTTTTACTTTGCGGCGGTCATACTAGGTGTTAGAAATAAGACTATGAAAATGCATTTAGTTGAACCACTAATTTAACCAGTGCAAACCTCATGTTTAGGAATAAGCAAAAACTAATTTGAATTTATTTGAAGCAGGTAAAGATAATGGATAAATAGATTAAACATACAAACAGCAAACTTGTAAMGTTTTCTGGCATCAGTGTTATGTTCTAATGTACTTGTTTACCTTCAATATATTCCTGATAAGCTTCAAATATTGATTCYATTCCCTGCCACTTGGAAACTGGAGGTTCCTCTTCCTCCTCATCCTCTTCCTCCTCCGAGTTCTCAGGACCAGACAGGTCTTCCCTCATCACGTTGACCTCCTTGTGGAGGGGCATTGAAAAGTGCTGCCCGTTGGGCTGAGGGTGGGCGTGCGACAGTGGATGGCAAAATGTTGGTGCGTTCGTGTGAGACTGTAAATGTGGCTGAGGCGGGCGGCTGGGGGTGTTCTGAAGCTCGGGGATGTTGTAGTGGACAGAAGACTCCTGAAGGTGGGACGACTCGGACGCACCTGCAGCTGCACCTAAAGGACAAAGACAAGAGAAACAACAACAAAGAAAAAGTTACGTTTTATTCTTTTAGGTGAATTTAGTGTCAGTGACTGTTCAAATATACATTTTGATACGGATCACTTAAAACACTTGCCAGTTTCACAACTGTGAAACATTCCATATGTTTTTCAATTAACATTTATTACTTTAATAATTGGGAAACTAAAAAGAAAACACTCGTTTAAAGGGATCCCTGATTAGTTATAACATTAGACTTCATTTGATAAACATATATTTTAACTGTAAAATAAAGACTGTAAAAATACTGTAGGCTGTTTAGTTTTGTAAATTTTTAAAAATATATTTTAAAAATATTTAACACGGACGGAGCTATTTTATTTACACACAAAGCATTCTGGGTAAAGGATGAAATGGATAGGTCCTCGGTGTAAGTGAGCTATATCCACCCTGAAGGTTAATCTTGGACAAGATCTGATGATCGACTCTTTTAAATGAAACCAGAGAGCGTTGACAGAGAGGAGAAGGTAGAAATGACTCAGCCTGTAACTGAAAATATGGATGGAGGACAACAGAGCTGCTTCATGGAAGAAGAACCTCAGCTTAGCCTGTTAGCCTTTGTGCTAGCGCTGATGCTATATTACCTTATATGTATTAGCTCGGCGCTAGCGCGACAAACAAGCTAAACTGAGGTCCTCCATCCATATTTTCAGTTGCAGTTGAGTCATTTTTGTGTTCTCTCTGTCATGTGGATGGACCTCAGTGATGAGAGGAGAATGTGTAGCACTGAGCTAATACATATATATGTGATAGCATTGGGGCTAACACTTAAGCTAACAGGCTAAGCTGAGGTTCTTCTTCCATGAAGCAGCTCTGTTGTCCTCCATCCATATTTTCAGTTACAGGCTGAGTCATTTCTACCTTCTCCTCTCTGTCAACGCTCTCTGGTTTCATTTAAAAGAGCCAGTTGTCAGATATTGTCCAAGATTAACCTTCAGGGTGGATATAGCTCGCTAGCAGCCTCGCACGAGTACCTATCCACGTCATCATTTACCCAGAATGCTTTGCGTGTAAATAAAATGGCCCCTTCTGTGTAATATATTTTTAAACTTTTATTTTAAAAATGATAAAAACTGAACATCCTACAGTATTTTTACAGTCTTTATTTTACAGTTAAAATTTATGTTTATTAAATAAAGTCTAATGTTACAACTAATCATGGATCCCTTTAAAGATGAGGATTTCTCCATCCTGTCATGAAACACCCAGGTAATGTGTGATCCATCTACCTTTATGTTTCTGCAGAGCTTTCTGAGTGGACTGAAGCACAGATTCATGAAACTGCTGGGCAAATTCCTCCGGGGTGAAGCTGTCCCAGGGTTTTGTGCGTCCGTTGACGCTGTGAAGCCCCTCTTTAGRTTGCAAAGGGAGTGGGGGACGCAAGCTGTTTAGCAAGCTGGAGCTCCTCTTTGAGATGGGGCCTTCACTGGGCCCCCGGGCCTTGTCTGGGTATACAGCTGGAGAGGGGGGCTCCTTTGGCCTTAATGTGTCTCCAAGGGATTTTGGATGGCCACTGGGYGACGTCGGGCAATGTAAAGGGGGGCTATGTTGTCTGACATTATGGTGGTCTTCAGATTCAGAGGAGTGCTGGGTAAATGCTGGATCTGCAATAATCACAGCAGGTTATTCATGATGAGGTCAATAATATAACAATAATACAACTGTATAAGTAGAAATGGCTATAGATTTCCTCAGATACGTTTAAAAATCAATATAAACACTAAAATACTTCAGGGGTGGGTAAGCATGTTTATTCATAGGCATGTCTTACCAGAGTTCTGCGCTGGGGGGCTCTTACACAGTGGATGAGGTGCATGCCTGATGGTATCCAAGGTTACACTCTTTTCTTTAATGGCTTGAAGCAGTTTAACCACCCTTTCATTGTCTAAGACAGAAAAAAAMACATGGTTTAACATTAATCTTGTCTGGGAGTTTTACATTTACTGCTACATACACTGCTCTTTAAGCATTTAGTTTTCCATYTTTGCGTTACAGCAGGACAAGTGATGCAAAAGGTTGAATGCTGCCATCTCCAGGCAACAAACAYTAAACCACACACTGAGGGGCATTTGGAGTGTGTGCAACCCCCACCCCATTTGTTAGGACCATTTAAGCTTTTAAATGAATTTACCTGTTAAGCCCTAAGGGGTTTTAGAGGTAATTTCRGCCTGAAAATACACAYCAAAATAAAGCAAGAATAGCTCCACAGTTATAAGGTCTAAATGCTAACTRTTGAAATTACCAKATTTCCCTCTGGGATCAATAKAGTATTTTTGAATTGAATTTGAATTGAATTGGTACCTCTGTAAAGGTAAGTTCTTAAAGATAATTTCTTAAGTGAAACCACTATTGTAGCTCTTACTGTGCCTGAGTTATTTGTGATTAAATAAAAGAAATTTTGTAATTTTTTTTAGCCTCGCCTAAATTTTTTTTAAAATCAACATTGCAAAACACAATGAAAATTCTTGTGAAAACCCAGGAATGCCCTTAGATTTTATACATCTACATCTTGAGAAAAATTGTAGCAAATTAGGACTGAATAAGTTGAAGTATATTCATTTCACAAAGGTTTTAGTGAGCAGTGTGCCAGGCGGAAATGGCATTTTGGCACAATTTAGCCAAATGTACCCAAAACTGTGCCAAATGGGTTTTTTACTTTATGAAAGAGAATCTGGTCTAATAAAAGTGTTGGTTTCTATTGCAGGACTCATTCTGCATATGACATAACCTTATATTTTTACATTTACACTGTTTACACTGTGCTTCATCAAAATCTACCATTGTGCACACAATGAAATCACTGAATGGAACCTAACTCCGCCTCGACATTTTACGCATGAGGGCTGTTATTTATACTCTCGGTTACGCACAAACTTCACGTCACCAAACAAAGAGTAACACAGTGTCAAGATATATACCTGAATTCATGAGAGCTTCGTCTTTTCAAAGATACCAAAGTGAGGYGTATGGAAGCAAAACTTGCACAGCAACAGTTGCGGAGAACTTCCTGATACTGAAACGGTCCGCGACGGTTCAAGTAACTTACAAATGTTTATATAGCTTGAAAGTCATAAATATTTATCCAAAAATAATTTGGCGACTCATTTTAAAAACATTAAAGACACCTTTTGTGATGGACTTAGAAAACATTTGGGAAAAATAAGTTTTACACCTACTTTAGCAAACAATGAATGACACCAACTGCTGGTCCTGTACAGGGCCCGTCGGACTTCAATTTTTTGTAATGAACATGAAAGGATTTTTTGAAAGATAACGATGATAAAATATTGCAAAACAAATTTCACATCACTGAGATGAACAGTTGCTGAGATATTTGCATGTGATGAAACAGGAAGTGATGTCAAAGGGGAATGTCTGCATGTAAACAGATCATTGTTACAACAGCTGACACAGGCTGTAGAGAAGAATCTGATGTTTCTTTACATTATTTTGAATCACTATCAAAGAGAGATGAAGAAGAGTTAAAGCRTAAATAATGTTTTAATAAACAAAGACCAGACAGTTTATTTTATTAATGAGTTCCCCTTTGATGTCACTTCCTGTTTCACTTTGACTGAACCAAATTCAAAAGAAAATAGGCCAGTTATGTGACAAAATGGGTGAAATCATGTGTATTATGCCAGTTTTCTTAAGTATAAAGATGTTTTCTTTGACTTTTTGTATTTGAAGGATAGGTGTGTCACACACACTTTAAAGAAAGCGTTTAGGTCAAGATGCTGGTTTGAAGGCTCATACTAAAGGGACTCAGAAACGCATTACATCAGACAGCCTCGACACAAGTTCACCTTTCTAACTGGGGCAATGCAAAGCTTTACACTGTGGGCACATTGCTTATTAATAATGCTGCATATAATAGGAGTATGAGGTTGACATCATTTTCCAACTCCTTCATGATTTCCTTWGTGGTTCGAGTCAGCGTGTTCATCAGAGTGTGGTGCACCAAGTWGAGCTCGGTGCATCAGCAAACTTCAGAACAGACTGAGATCAACGGTTTTCTAATCACTAAAGGAGCAGCTTCTTAAATGAGATGTCAAACAGAAAACAGGAAAGAAGCAMCTGTTATGTATGTACTGGCCAATGTGTAATTTCCTTATGACACGTGGGCTCTGTTATGTTACAAAAAATGGTTTGTGTCAACCAATAACATTTATGACTACCTAATTTTGACATAGTTCCAATGGTGATAACATATGCTGTGTCCCAAATCAGGGGTTGTGATTTCTTGGTTTCTTTCTTTCTTTCCTTCCTTCCTTCCTAATAAATAAATAAATAAATAAATAAATAAATAAATAAATAAATAAATAAATAAATAAAAAGCCATAATAATTTGGGTTTAGCTCCAGTATAAGTATATGTATTTGAATTTTATTTAACATGCCATTGCAGCGAAAATGTCATCAGCTAAGTTGCTAAACATGCATTTAAAAACTAATTCTTCGGTCCGTGATGAATTTAGGAACTTCGCCATTAAAAAAAACAAACCTCTGCTGTAAATATATTGTCGGCTGCGAAGGACACTTAGATGCAGKCTACGGTTTCCGGGTTTTGTCGACCGCATAAGTAGTCGGCTAAGAATTGGGACAGCCTACAGCGCGGCGCAGTGCCCTATGTCGGCTGCAACCCCTGAATAGAGACACTGTTGTAGTTTTTGATACCCAAACTCTGAATAAAAGGAAGCCATATTTTAGCAATAATTAAAGCTAATACTTATGTACACCATTAACATAGGAATTTGACTATATTGTGTAGTTCCTGAAATACACACAAAACAACTTCTAAGCAATAATTAAGAWGTACACTTGGAATAAATYGAAGACTGGTTAAACTAAAGATCTYACATGATGYACTGAACAGTGTTGGAGGTGGTCACTCGTCCACAGACTGACCTTTTCTCTGCTGCATAGTGACATGGGAGAGTTTAAACATGGTGAGAAATCGCTTCTTATCCTCCAGCTCCGGTGCCTTGTCCATTTCCTCCGGAGTGAAGCTCGTGCTGAGCTGAGGAGGAGGAGGAGGGGGAGTGCGTTTTGATTGCGAGGCGGGTGGAGAAGGGCTGCGCTCCTTGAGCATTCTCCTCCTTTTCCTCCTCTTCTGCTGCACGAGCTCATCGCGCCGGCCCACCGTGGTCAGGCCTACAACTTTCAGAAAATCTAATTTCTACACGAAGAGATAAAAAGAAAAAAAAGTTTAATTGAGATGACTTGTACGRTTTTTGTGTAGAAGCCCAGAAAGCCTATATTTTGGGTGATATTTTACCTCTGTGGAGTCATCAAGCTTGAGTGGCGGCTGCTCTGCTACTCTCCTYAGATGGGCTCTCACCTCCTCTTCATCGCTCTCATCATACGAGTCATCCAGTTCGTAATAGTAACCTGCAGAAAATGAAAAAATAAATAAATAAAAAAATAGCTCCTTTTCAAATCTACTTGTAGATATGACCTGTACATTAAAATATGACGTTTAATGTTTCTCTAAACATTAGATTCAATTATAGGTTTATTTGAAATACCTTTTTCCCGGGCTTCCCTCCTCCTTTTCTCCTCCAGGTCCAGCTTACTGACAGGCCTCCGGTGCTGCTGTAGAAACTCATCATAGATCAGCATCGTGTCGGGACCCATCCCCAGGGGGGCTACCTGCACAATRCCCGGCCCAGAGACCATTCCGAGACCATGTCCGTGTCTACTTTGCCCCGGATGTCCCTGGAAATTCTTCAACCCAGCGTTGATTTTGGTGCCTCCTTCTATTTCGTACTGACTCGACAGAGGCAGCGACGCCCTCTGCTGGTTCAGCAAGGACTGGGTGGATTTCTCTAGCTCGGCAAGAAAGGTGCTGGGCTCAGGAAGTCCRGGGGGCGCTCTCAGAGGTGGGTATTTCTCCACGGCCACCACATCACGRCTTCGAGACACGTCTTCGTATTTGGAGGGTCCTGGGGGCAGCCGACCGAGCTCGTAATGGCCCATCCCTGAGAGCTCGTGGTTACGTCTGGATTCTGAGACCGACTCGATGAGAGCTGCCGGGTTCCACAGGGTGGTGGGAGGRGGAGGGTGGTGTTCGCGAGGTGGCGGTGGAGGTTTGGGGGAGATGAGGGGCGGAGGGGCACCTAAGTGAGGGTGATGATCTCGACCTCCTGGCTCATGAGGATTCTGCACAGACCTGTGGCGACAGAAGTACGTACMAACGTAAGCAAGGTGGAGTACTTCCTAATTACAAACACGAATACAGACAGCAAACAAAGCTCARACGCCACGCCTACTTCCTTTGTACCCGTGTCAGTGTGTCTGCGCAAAGCAGCGTTATCAAACCCAGACAGAGTAGCCCAGAGCAGAGTGAGGATGTGGCCAAGGCACACGCTTTCCTCCTAACACAGAGGCTGCTTTTTCATCTGTCGGGCTTTTGTAGTTACGCATGTGTGCACCCACAAACATGCACACAGGGAAAAAAAAAACAGTATACTAAATAAGAGGCCAAAAGAAATGTCATTCTGACAGGACGCCAGAGAACAAAAAGACTGATACACYGACAGAAAAAAAAGAAAAAAGAGATGGGAGGGGATGGTGGGGAGCTGTAGTGCTGGAACAGAAAAAGTCAAAGTGAACAGGAAATAAGGGCAAGACTGGTGATGGACACTTTCTCAAGTGCATTTCCAAACCAAACCTGGCAGTAAAGCACACTGCACATGACCAGTCAAATTACCCATGCCTCTTGTGTGTGTGTGTGTGTGTGTGTGTGTGTGTGTGTGTGTGTGTGTGTGTAAGTAAAGTGTGTCTTATCTGCAATCTGCAGACTGTGAGCTGTGATTATGTGATTAT